CAGCGTTGACGGCGAGCGCTGCAGACGAGTTTACTATCGCTGAGCGCCATTATGCCAGCACTTGTAGTGCTAGTGCCATGGAGCATGACCCAGTTGTTGGAAAAAATATGAGGAGTGCACTAGTAAACACGGCACGGCGAATATCATTTGAAGATGAATCGGACTTGTCCAAAAGAGAAAGAGAAAGAAGAAATGAGGCAAGGGACCCAGACGCCGTCCTTGAACTCAGTGACGACGTCTTTGAGACTCCACTGAATGAGATACGACGGGAGGTAAGCAAATCGAAGGCTAGGCGAGTTGCTGCACGGACTTCCAGTGCGCGAAACAAACAAAAGGCGAGCAATAATATATCGCCAAGAACTGCTTTATNCGACAGTGGCCGATATCAGTCGGCAGGAATAGTCGCGGCGACTATTGAAAAGTGTGCTGACGTCATTGAAGGGGTCAGATTCAGAAGCAAAAATTTAAATGAGGCTCTGTCGCACGAGATTAAGGTCAATGTGCAAAAAATAAAACTGACGACGTCGGACCTAGCTACTCGGTGTGACCTTACAGGTGATACCTCCTACTTACACCTGAGAGAGGCCGAGTTGTTGAGGGAAACAAAGGATCTTAAGGANGAAAATAAGATGCTACGTGAACGATTAGAGGCCTTGAAACAAGAACTTCGTCAGTTTAAACAAGATGTCCATGACGGAAAGATTGGCAGAGGACTGAGATCGCCGAAATCAATAAATAAGCAGACAAGGGATGTTGCGACATCCCCTCCTGAATTGGCCCTGACCCCACCTCATTACCGGCTGGGAGCAGAGCAAAGATTGATACAAGTTGCCCTAAGAACATGAGCGCGGCTGTAAAATTTGGCGGCATGCGTGGCACGACGGCTTCTTCTGGCCAGAGAAACTATGCACAAAAAGAGGAAAACAGACTTTTATTAGGGGATAAGTCCCGGCCTGTAGAACAACCTAGGAGAAGATCTAGAGGCCTTACCTCGGAAGATGATAAGAGTGTCCAAGAGAGAATTGAAACGCGGACATCTTTGTCCCGGCGAGAACGACGAAGGCGACGTATTGCCTCGGATCAGACGTTGCGACAGTTGCCACACAAAGCGACACCGAATGGTCGGTCGTGGGCCCGAGAAGAGGTAGGCGTCGGCTGCGCAGCGATAATCGAAGGAGGGAAAATCCCTTATTGCAGAAGAGGGTACCCCCTACGGATCGGGATAAGCGTCCCCCTCGCATTCGTCCTCCGCGTTCGGCGGCGGTGGCGATTAGGATCCCGGAGGGAAAAACGTATGCGGAGGTTATGAAAAAGGCGCGAACTGAGATAGATTTGGAACAGTTGGGACTTGGAGATACAAGAATTAGGAGGGATATCGCANGTGGGTTGCTCATACAAATCCCGGGCAAAGAAGGAAAGGATAAAGCGCGGCAACTGCAGAATAAGCTACANAAGGTGCTTGGCCAGGAGGCACGCATAACTATTCCCTCGAAGCGAGCCGAGTTGCGTATTATAGGNTTTGATGATTCTGTGACGGAAAAAGAAATCATCAGTCAGGTTACAAATGTGGCTGGATGCAATTCGAGCGATGTGAAAATGGGAGCGATCAGACATCTGGCGAGTGGTCTGTGTGCCATATGGATCCAGTGCCCGGCGGATTCGGCTCAGGCCATAATTAAAGCTGGTCGCATTAGATTAGGGTGGACGTCAGCCCGAATCGTATTGCTCCCTCCGAGAAAACTCCAGTGCTTTTGTTGCCTCGAATTTGGGCACGTGAGGATCATGTGCCCTAGCACTGAAGATAGAAGTAGCCTGTGCTACAAATGCGGCGAAACGGGACACAAGGCGTTAACATGTGTCAACCGTGTTNGCTGCCCAGTGTGTGCCTCATGTGGTGCAGCCGCAGACCACAGGATCGGTGCTGAGAAGTGTACGGCCAGAAAGATCGGTGGCAGAATTAATATGCGTACAATGGCTACGGGAGCAAAAGATCCAGTAGCATCATGTAGGGAGCCCAGCATTCCACTAGTGAGCGTTGAATCTGTCGGTGGGGGTCCGACAGAAAATGACGGCACAATGGAATTATGTTAATAGTGCAATTAAATGTTAATCATTCACGGGCGGCGCAGGATTTAATGATGCAACGCGTAAGAGAAACCGGAGCTAGTTTGGCCTGCGTGGCTGAACCACATTCCATCCCTAAATCTCAGCAATGGTTTGGGGATTTGGACAAAAGAGCGGTGATTTACTGGTCCCCCCGAATAGGTGGGCTAGAAGTCCGTCCGGTTGACAGCGGTAAAGGTTACGTGGCAGTCAAAATGGGAAAGCTCAGAATCTACAGTGTTTATTTCCCCCCAAATGAACGACGTTCGGACCTAGAAGAACGGATCGATGGCTTAACAAACAGCATTATGAGTACAGGCCCATCCCCTGTAATGGTCATGGGGGATTTTAACGCAACCTCGATTGGCTGGGGGGCAAGATACACCAACGTGCGGAGTGAGGTTATAGAAGAATGGGCTGCGTCTATGGACCTGACTCTTCTCAATGTCGGTAGTATTCTAACATGCAATCGAGCCCAAAGCACGTCAATTGTGGATCTTTCATGGTGTAGTTCGGACGTGGTCGGTGAAATAGGCGCCTGGAGAGTTGCCCCAGAGGTAGAGACCTTGTCGGATCACTCTCTCATCGAGGTAACTGTCAGAGGATTTGATTTGGCACGTCGTGGTTATGCTAGAGAGGAGAGACAATCTCATTTTGTGAGATGGTCTATAAACAACATGAACTGGGACCTATTGAAAGCAGCATTGATGCTGAAGGATTGGCTGTGTCCACAACCGCTACACTGTAATCCTGAAGAAGCGGCCACTAGGTTAGGTCAACTCCTTGTGGAAGCATGCGACGTAGCTGCCCCGCGGGTTAGAAAGCTCCCCAATAGGGCCAAACCTATTAGTGGAACAACGAGATAGCTAAAATGCGCAAAAGATGCACTTCTTTAAGGCGCAAAATGGTGAAGTCTCGCAGACGAAGCGACATGATTGATGCTGAGACTGCCAGAGTGGAACTCCGATGTGGTCAACGTACTTAGAGCGGCTATAGTGAGGGCGAAAGACAAAGCATGGAAGGAGCTATTAACAACTATAGAAGAGGATCCTTGGGGTAGGCCCTACCGTATTGTTATAAAACAATTGAAGGGCTTGGTAAGGGCGGTCACCGAATCGCTGGAAACTAATGAACTAGACGTGGTGATCAACGGCCTTTTCCCCCAACAGGCTAATGCAGAGGGCGAGCAGTGTGAATCTCCTCCACTTGAGGATAGATATATGATCACCGCTGATGAAATTAAAAATGCAATGCGGGAAATTAAAAATAGGAACTCGGCACCAGGTCCGGATGGGATTTCGATAAATGTCATCTTGATAGCGCTGTCTACTGTCCCGGACAGGTTAATGAGGTGCTTCAATGTGTGCTTCTTGCAGGGATGTTTCCCTGCATGCTGGAAAATCACCCGATTGGTGCTAATTTCAAAACCTGAGAAACGACCGGGGTTGGCGTCGTCATATCGGCCGTTGTGTCTGTTAAGCGATGTTGGAAAAGTGTTCGAGCGCATTGTAGCTCGAAGGTTAGTGGAGCATGTGGATAAACGAGGTGGTTTCTCATCCAGGCAGTTTGGGTTCTGCAAAGGTAAATCCACTTGCGATGCGGTGATAGCTCTAAGGAAGTTTGCGTCGTCCTTTACTAACAACAAAGGAGTGTGTTTGGCAATCTCTCTGGATATCAAGAACGCATTTAATTCTCTTTCATGGCCGGCTATTAGGGATGCTACTGTAACTTGGAGGCTTCCTGAATATATGAGATGTATCATTGCGGATTACTTGAGGAATAGGTTTATCACATATGGAGATGTGAGTGGAAAGATCCATAAGAGGAGGGTCTTCTGTAGAGTCCCCCAGGGATCGGTGTTGGGCCCTCTCTTGTGGAATCTGACTTATGATCAGGTCCTGAAATATCAGGTTCCTCTGTCTTGTCGTGTTTTTTGTTACGCCGACGACACGCTGGTGGCAGTAGGTGGGACTGATATAGATCGGGCAATCCGGGTTGCTAACCGAGGGCTTGAGGTCGTTGGTCGAGCCATAGCTGAACTGGGACTAATGATTGCGCCGGATAAAGCGGATGCTGTACTATTCCGCCATCGTTGGATGAAATTACGGCCTGCGTTGGTAAACCTGAATGGAAATAATATAGTAGTGAGTAATAGAATTACGTACTTGGGTTTCATACTAGACGATAGATGGACCTTCAAAGAGCATTTTCAAAGTATGGTAAATAAAGGACAGAAAATTGTAAGTGCACTGGCACGCATCATGCCCAACTTAGGTGGTCCTTCAGAAAGAAGACGGCGGCTGTATTTGAATGTCCTGCAAGCAGTTATATTGTATGGAGCCCCTGTATGGGCTGGAGAACTGATGAAAAATAGAAGGGCGATAGCACGGTGTCACGCTGTGCAAAGATTAATTGCAAACCGTGTTATATGTGGTTACCGCACGGTCTCGGCAGATGTAGCCCAACTACTGGCTAGGGCTCCCCCTTTGGAGCTGCTCGCAGAAGAACGAGCAGCAGTACTCAGAAGATCTCGTAGCGATGCTTTGCTAGAATACGGGCGGCTGAAAATTGAAGAAATTAAAAACACTAGAATTAGATGGCTTGAACAACTCTGGGCTTCTCAGGTGCTTGGAAGGGCTACAAAAAGTTTACTACTACCAGTGTTTAAACAATGGATGACAAGAAAGCATGGCTACCTGAATTTCCATTTAACACAAATGCTGACAGGCCATGGATGCTTTAATGCTTTTTTATATAGGATTGGAAGGTCGGTTTCAGACAGATGCTCCCACTGCAGACTATAAGTTGACACTCTGAGTCATACATGGGAGGAATGTGAATGTTGGAAGGAGGAACGTGAATTATTAAGGATACAAATTGGCCTAAATCAAGTCACGATGAAGGCTGCAGTTGAGGCGATGATAAATAAACAAGAAAAGTGGAGTGCAGTGTCACTTTTTGCTAGAAGAATTATGATGCAGAAAGAACAAGCAGAGAGAGAACGACAAGGGCAGACTGCTCTAAGAAGAGAAAGTTCGGCAACAGCACCGTAATGGCATAAGCTAGTATATATTTATGGCTGTTTATTGTTCACATTAGGAACGGACTAGGGGAGCAAGTGTTTGAGGTTTAAAGGGTATATGTCTCCCCCTACGTCTCACTCCTCTGCTCCCATCTTGGCTTGTCGGCGTTGTCATGAGAGGAATGACAACGACCATTGTACGCAACCAAAGTGATATATATGGAGAAGGTTTTTCAACCTTTTTCTCGGAAATAGATATTATCCCTTGTATGAGATGGCGCATGTGCAAGGCGGGGGCTAGCAAGTAATGCCTTTTGGCGTCCGCTAGTCCTCCGCTCAGTTGGCGCGACTGGGGACATCGAGGGGTTTTAGCGGGTAGGCTGGTCCCCATCTTTGGGGGACTCTAAGAGTACTCCGGACTCCCCGTCTGGGTGGTGGTGGAGGAGGATTCCCCCGATAGGGCGAGGGCCTCGTCTCCTTCCCGGACCAGTTAGTCTCGCATATCCTTCGCCCAGTTCCCCTGATGGGCGGAGGAATCCATAAAAGATTTCTCCTCGTTAAAAAAAAAAAAAAAAAAAAAAAAGGTTATAGTTAAGCCCCGGGCGAGTTCCCACCACCTTGACGTGGTACCCGGGCTTGGGAGCGGTGAGGTGAGGGGGCTATACTGGCGGGGACTCTTTTGAGTCCCTGGCAGAGTCACCCATGCCAGGAAAGCCCTTCACTAAGCTCCCGTACTAAAAGTGGGAATAGAGGAAGGAAAACCTCGAACAAAAACCCGGAGTTCTCAGCTCCGTTAGTCCTCAAAGACGGGGGCAACTGGGATAGGGGAGAAAACCCTGACTTCAAATCCGGGGACGTTCGACCCCGTCAGCCACGGTGCAGTCGGAATAGGAGAGTAAACCCTGATTTCAAATCCGGGCGTGCGGGCTCGTTACCCCACGTGGGGGAGCCGCAATAGGAGAAGGAAATCCTCGAACAAGAAACCCGGGTAGGTCGGACTCGTAAGCTTTGGGCGGCAATCGTCCTAGGTGACGGATACACTAAGTTTAAAACCACCATGATCACACTTATGACATGGACAAAACAGAGGAGACAAACTTAGTGCGACAGGGCGTATCGGAACGTCCAGTGGCCGGCGTAGGGGGGGTCTTTGACCCTGCTCCCCCTATGTCGTCATCCAACGAGGGGCCGACCAAAGTGTTGCCAGCGGGCACTTTGAGTTATATTGCTACCGCTGATGACTTAGCTGGTGGAGATAGCGCGCTTCCCACGGTGGGAGCCACTTCTCTCGCAATAATCGAGAGCCTAGAGCGTGTGAAGAATTGGGGACCCATATGTGAGCTGGCCTCACATACCACCGGTACTCAGGACGATCGTGAGTACCTGACTACACGATCCCGCAGCACGTTGTTCAGCCCGGACCAGTCGGCTGACTCCGCTCCGTCTGACATGGACGTCGAGGCTGACAAGGTGTCCGATCCTCCCGCAAGGTTCACACGTGCGGCGTTCTTGAGGGCACCCAAGCTTGTGGTTCCCCCTCCCAAGTCACCAGTACTTGGGATTGATAAAGCCGGTAATTCTCGTCCACCAGCTGCGAAGAATGTAGCCAAAAAGACTGCGGCTAAGCCGGCGCGTAAGCGCAAGATCGCACGCGTCGCCTCCGCGACTACATCTGAGGAAGACAACCCTCGGGCTCCGCTGGTCCCTGCCGCCTCTCCGTCTAGATATGCAGGAAAGGCCGACCAGAGGAAAGTGAAGGAGATCGTGCAATCCATGCAGGATTATGATTAGCAACCGCCCAGCGTGGTATATGCCGATCTCATGGAGTGGCTCAAAGAAATCGAGCAGATGCGCATCAAGTCCGCCAATTTCCTGCAGGGTAAAATCAGCGGGCAGATGCGTGACCGGATCGTACGATCAAAGCAGGCAGTGTTGGTCCTCTCAGGGCGGGACAACGCTGCCTACA